AGTTGATTGATCTCAAACAGCATTGCACCAGGTCAAGGTTTAACTAAGGTGAAACTGGGCCATTTCTTTCTCCTCTTTTACGTCTGACCTGTGAGTCCTGCGGCCATCTCTATACGGACGCTTACTGTTTGGACACATGCTCCTTTAACCACCCAACAGGCCCCACTTTCTGTCTTTGTGCTCCCTGAGATGTACCTCCCAATAAGGGTCCTGCATCTCTCCATCTGTATTGTAACCTGCAGCCAGAGATCCAGCTTTCGATGGCCAGGTAAGTGGCTGGTTGCAGCAGATATCATTGGTTACAGCAATGACGGCTTTTCTTATTATCTCCTCCACGTACACTTATTCCAGAAACGTAACCTCAGGCTGGGAATTTTGTGACTTCACTAATCGTGTTTTCTTTCTTAATTAGGCTACCTCTAAGAGCAAAGGTCCTAAGCAAACCTCTGAGGAATAATTCGTATCCAGGACAGAGCCGTGGGTTTTGCAAGAGGGTAAAATATCTCCTTATTGCAATAAAAACATCTTAAGACTTCGCCAACGTCCTTCTGTGACTTCCAATGAGGACAAAACACCGAATGCTTACTGGAGCCACATGAAGGCTGAGCAACGGACCATCAAGTGCTGTCTTGAATTTAAAGATCGGACAAGTGTTTGGAACCTCAGGTAAATGTAGCCGGACACACAAAATTACTGACTATAAGAATACAAGGTTCACTAAACAAAAACACAGTGTCCTCAGTGAGCCACAACCCTACTTCTAACACTGATAGTCTGTGTAAGCAGGAAGCCACGAGAGAAGAACAGAGAATAACTTAAATCAAACTCTAAATCAAAGTCACAAATTGATGGAGAGTACAACAGTAACATGACTTGCCAGACATTGTCTAATTGAATTACGGAATGTATTGTAATATAAACAGAAACTTGCAGGTTGCAGAAGAAACCATTCCGTAAAAACAACACAACCAGAATGTGAGCAATGAAAACACAGGTGCTATCATGATGTATTATAAATGGTGGATGATTGACAGATGGAGAAGGATAGGGCATCCAATGGATGAAGAGTAGGGATAGGATGGATGATGTGAGGACGAGAGAGAAAGAGAGAGAAAAGACTGATGGATGGAACGGAAGAAAGGAACACAACCACTGACAGTTTTGGGGGGTTTTTTTGCAACAATGTCTTCATTGAAATTTATGTTCACATACAAGGATAAGTCAGTACACAGCAAGGATTGGTTCCATCATGTGTCAGCAAAAACAATAATGCATTTTCCACTGAGGTGTATATGAAACAGTGTTTTCTTTCAAGTAAAATGTACATTAAACCATCTACATTTATGAATGCCTGCCATAGTGCCACAATCATATCTACTACTCCCTTCCACGTTCTCAACAAAACCCTTTCCTATCTCCATTGTACCTTATTTTGGCTTAATATCTGACTGTATTGATCATAAGAGGAAAATAAGGAGGGAGTTAAATACTAAGACCTTTCCCCTCTACCTTCACCCAACGTGCCCATGAAGTGCCATGTTTGTCTATGTTTCATATTGTATACGTTATGCAATGAGAGGCATATTCCATCTGCCCTATGTAAATAAATGACAGCTTGCTGAAGTTGTCAGTCCAAGAAAACACCACCATGTATGAAGGTAAGAACCCTCCTGTCTGCATTCAGGGCCGGTGCAAGGATTTTTGCCGCCCTAGGCAAAAGTAAAGTTTGCCGCCCCCCTCCTCCCCCCCGTGACATCGCAATGCCCCACCCATATGACCTGCCATGTTAACTAACGCTAGTGCTGCAGTGCCGCTGTGTTTACATTAAAAGGCCTGCAGGGACAGGCTATAGACACCAGGACCACTACATTAAGGTGCAGTGGTTCTGGGGACTATAGTGTTTCTTTAATGTGAGGTAAATTAGAGATTAGTGCCACGAATAATATACTAGATTACCTACTTACAAGCAGATGAGGATGATGATGGGCTCTAGCTGCAGTCTGGCTCCACTGGTCTGGTGTATAACAGGATCTCTGGAGGCTGTTTGTAACTGTGGTCACACAAATCAATGTTCTGGGAGAACGAGAAGCAGCTCCATTTTTTGGGGGCCCTTTACACAGCTCAAGGTCTGGGTCCCAGGGTCCACCTTCATTTTCCACCAATGAGTTTGTTCACAGGGGATGGAGTGTGTAGGGGATGTCCTGATTTGTGTGTAAGGAATGCATTTTGTGAATCTGTGTTTGTATGTGTAAGGGCTGCAAGGTGTGTTTCTGTGTATGTAAGGGATGAAGTGTGTGAGTCTAAGGGGTGCATTGAGTGTGTGTAAGGAATGCATTGTGTGTTTCTGTGTGTGCAAGGGATGCATTGTGTGTAAGGGTTGCATTGCATGTGTGTGTGTATGTAATGCATTGTGTGTGTAATGCATTGTGTGTTTTTCTGTGTACAAGGGGTTCATTGTCTTTGTGTGTAAGGGGTGCATTGTGTGTGATTGTGTGTGTGTGTGTGATGGATGTCAATCTCTCCCCCCTCCCTTGTCACTCTCTTCTCCCCCCCTCCCTTGTTACTCTCATTCCCCCTCCCTCCCCTGTCACTCCCCCCTCCCTGTCAATTTCTCTCTCCCCGTCAATTCCCCTCCCTGTCAATGTCTCCCCCTGTTAGTTTCTTTCCCCCCACCTCCCTGTTAGTTTATTTCTCCCCCCTCCCCTGTCAGTTTCTTTCTTCCCCCCTCCCCTCCCCTCCCTGTTTCTTTCTTCCTCCCTCCTCCTTTTTCTTCTTCTCCCCTCCTGTTTCTCTCTTCTCCCTCCTCCTCCGCTTCTTCTCCCTCCCTCCTGTTTTTCTTCTCCTCCCTCTCCGCTTCTTCTCCTCCCTCTCCTCTTTCTTCTCCCCTCCTCCTCCTGTTTTTCTTTTCTTTCTCCCTCCTCCTGTTTTTTCTTTTCTCCCTCCCTCCTGCTTTTCCTCCTGTTTTTCTTTCTCCTCCTCCTGCTTTTCTTTTTCTCCTCCCTGCTTTTTTTTTTTTTCTTCTCCCCCTCCCTCTTTCTTCTCCCCCCCTTCTTTCTCCCCCTCCCTCCCCTACCCGTGTGGTAGTGTGGCCGAGCCCAGTATAGTCCGACCGGTACAGGGAGCTGTTGTTTCCTGTACCCGGCCGGACTAACAGGAAGTGAACACAGAGTGTGCACTTCCTGTTAGTCCGGCAGTGTACAGGAGACAGCTGCTCTCTGTACCGGTCGGACCATGCCATACAGGGCTCGGCCACGCTACAGAGAGGGAGCTGACAGGAGGGAGCGCTAAGCGCTTCCCTCCTGTCAGCCTCTCCTCAGGCTGCGCCCGGGCGGTGCGGTCCGCCCTCATGGACGCACCGCCCGGGCAAACCTGGCTGCAGCCGCCTGAGGCTCTATACAGAGCGCTCGGGCGGCTGCAGGATAAGCGGGGCCGGCGCTCCTGACGGCGCCCCCTCCCAAGGGGCGCCCTAGGCGGCTGCCTAGTCCGCCTTACAGGTAGCGCCGGCCCTGTCTGCATTACCTCCAACAGAGCCTTGGCATACCCGCATGCAAATGACTCAGTTTAACTGTGATTAAATGCCATCTATTTAACATTTTCTTAAGTAATTCGGAGTGGTTAGTACTCCTAGTAATCCCCTTCATGTTGAGGAATATTTAGTTCCACTCTGTGTCCTTTAACGTCCTACCCAATTCCCATTCCCATCCAGTATGGAAATGTAATGGACCACTACGTTTCCAGTCTTGAGTGATGTTATCACATTTGGAATCTGCTCCCTTATTTATCTAAGGATGAGCAGCTGCCAGCTGTGGTTAATGACAACTTGTCCTTTAATAGTGGATTTGTAAATATATGATATAGCAAAGTATATATCAAAAGTTGTTTTATTGAAGCGCTACACTATATATTTAGTTTTTTTTAGATTTGTAAATAAACGTCTGATCTGGAGAAATGTATAAAATCCCTGTTTCGGCAGTGTATAATTAGCACTTCAATCTATAAAGCAAGTTAGGGCTTGCCCCTGAAATAACAACCCCAAAGAAGTAATGCCACTTACAGTCCATATCGATAAATTTAAATCAGGAATCCAACCCTGTAAAGTTTGGTTAGAGTCTGCTCTTCAATGCCAGACAGGCAAGGAATATTTGTCGCCAGTTGATGCCGCACTTGAAGTGCATATTGAAGTATATTATAAGTGTTTAGCTAGTGTAGGGAACTTATCTGCCCACAAATGATATGCTTTGTATGCAGGGGTTAGCGCTGCATCCTCCATATCCACCCATTGGATTGGAGCACAATAAAAGCATTTAGGAAAGAATGCTTGCCTGATGATAAGGCACTAGGGGAGGGACACCCATGCTGCCTCTCAATCTATTATGATGTAAGATCATTTTTTGTCACTCCAGAATTTTATAGCCATTAAATTGGCACAGTATTTAATTTTTACAAATCCCTATTATTCTATAAAAATCACATCAGGCAAGTAAATTATGTGACTTCACTAATCACATTTTCTTTCTTAATTAGGATCCCTCAAAATGAAGAAAAAACCCAACGTACACCTCTTGGGGGAAAATGGTATCCTGGACAGAGTTGTGGGTTTGTACAAGACGTTCTACAAGCTCATTATTCTGCAACATCCAAATATGACAAAATACTCAATGTTATTCCAAGAGGATAAAGCAACTCAGGAGACTGCAACTGCCCTAGCCAAGGCAGTGGAGGAAAAAGAAACCGAAAAGGAATAAAATGCTTATGTGGATTTCCATCCCGAGGCAAGTATTCTAGATCCTGAGATCACCGGTATAGAAGAACATATTCCTCTTGTGGGTCCATAGTTTGTTCTCCTGAACCTTTTAGTAGACGATCAGAGGAGCTGCCAGTAAACTTTGCACAGCCACAGTCCACTTTGGTTTGCCAATCTCAGCCAATTGATTTAGATCGTGAGCTGTCAGTCACAGTTGTAGAAGAAGATATCCTTCTAGATATCCCTGTTTCTTCTACTGAACCTCAGACAAGTGGATTAGCAGAGGAGATGCCAGTAAGCTCTGATCCACCACAGTCTACTTTAGTTTCTCATCCTGAGCCTACAAATCTAGCACGTGGGCAGTCAGTCACAGAACTAGAAGAGCATATTCCCGAACAGAAGTATACTGAGGAGAATTATACTGCAATGAAAGTTTGCCAGCTATTAACTGCAGATCAGCCTGTGTCAGTTTCTAAGTCCAGAGAACATGGAAAAAGTGAAAAATCTGCTAAGACTAATGTTTACCCAGAGCAGACCACAGAGAGCCAAGCACAGACTGCTGCGGCTGCTCCTCAAACAAATATTAAAACAGCAAATATAAAAAGGATATGCTACAGCCATGAATTTCTGCTCAGTTTACGGTTTAGAAAGCAAAAGCCAGAGAGCCTTCCTGATATACCTGACATACACCGAGATTCGGCTCAGAAAACCAAACTGACGCCACTGGATTCAACCCAACAGGCTAGTAATCATTTTACACCGCCAAGTACAAGATTCTGCCACGCTGCTGGGGCTAAACCTAGACTTCCCTAGCAAGAGCCATGCAAACATCCTCGAAAAATAATAACATTAAATCAGAATATTCACCTAAACAAAGCTGAAAATGCTTGGAAACCCGCTACAAGATGGACAAATGGAAATTCCACTAGTATCCAGGCTCAGGAATTGTTCCCCAAAGTGCGCGGTATCCTTAATAAGGTGACTCCTGAGACATCTAAGCAGCTAACCAAACAAGTGGCAGACCACTCTGTAGACACAGCATATCAGCTCAAATGTGTAGTACAACTAATATTTGAAAAGCAATATCTGAGCCAAATTTTTCATGTATATATGCCAACATGTGCCATTGTCTAATGAGCCTAGAAGTTTCAGCAGAAGTAAATCCTAAAGTCTATATTAAATTCCGCAGACTGCTGCTAGAGGAGTTCGAAAAAGGTGAAGATGGTGACGAGCGAATTAAAAAACTGAAGAAGACATTGGAAATGGCTACGTCATCTAATGAAAAGGCTCAAGTAAAGGAGGAATTGAGAATACCGAATACGGATGAAAACTACCGAACAATCATACGAATGCTACATACAATTTTAGCTATACATGAGAATAAACACACGAATTGCATTTTCAACACAGCCTTTGAGGACAGCCTTAATACCATCCGCTACAGTGTGTGTACTTGTGTTTGTGCAAATGTGTGTGTTCATTTTCCAAAGCTAAAATATGACTCAAAATCAAACAGCACCCCTCCGGAATTCATGCCACGGAGCCGAACTTGTCATCGATTAACTCTGTGGAAAGTAATTTTGTCAGCAATTATATGTAAAAAAAAAAGGCTGCATGCAGTTACCAAATTCATCCACTAGATGTCACCGCAGTATAATAACAAATGCCCTGTCAAGGATAGCAATATGCATTCAAACCATCAGTTTAGCGACACCTCGTGGATACAGTGTGTAATTGCATGCAGCAGAACAACAGACATATTTTATCCATCTTTTCCACAGTATGTTCATATCTGAATCCTACAAGGGGGTGAACAAACCTGATTTAGTGTTTATACAATGTCCTTCAAATCTGGGGCATTCAGATCGGATCTGAAATAGTATTTTTATTCTGTACTTTTAATTACACTTTCTAAAGTAAGTGAATATTGTAATATTTTAAGAAGAGTTTGTCCAGTCAGACTGGCTGTTGGGTCCTGTGTGAGCGCTTTATAAAAACAAACAAACAAAATAAATACAGTATTTG